TTCATCTGACCTTTCTTCCTCAGAAAACTTTTTAATGCTCTGTCACCTAATACGTGTGTTCAAAAGGAGTCAGTAGCTTTAGCAGTAAACATTTGTTTTCTTGTTTTTTTCTGCAAAACACAGGTGACTGTTAACCTGAAAAAGCTTTCCAGTTCTCAAAACTTTTGTGTAAACTGGCTGGCTAAAAATATTTTATTTTAAAAAAGTTGACCAGTACTTAAACCTAGATATTTTCTTTCTGGAAGCAGTTGGACTCCAACAAGAGTTTTTGTCGCTTCATCCTCTGATGTCAGAGTTCAGGTCAAAGTTTATTGCAAATACTCAACAAAGAAGGGGTTACATAACCAAATGATTTAGCTTAAATTTATCAGTATTTATAGATAGTTATAAGCTATTGATGCAAGATAATTCCTAATTTTTTATTTGTATTTTTTTATACCCCTGGTAGAGACTGTAGCATCTTGTCCACAGTGTTATTAATGAAACTATTCATTCATCTTCTAACATGCTTATTCCCTTTCGGGGTGCCTTTTCTGCCAATCTCTAGGACACATCGGGCGAGAGGCAATGGTACTCCCTGGACAGGTCGCCAGTCCATCACAGGGCATACATATAACTATAAAAACTAAAGCAAAAGTTTGGATTAGCATATTGAGAATTGAGGGTGAAGTAGTATCAAGTAGTGTCATCGTTATTAAGACACCACTTTCTAATGTTTGTTTATTTTTAAAAACATCTTCAATATTTAGGGAGTAAGCAGCATCCAATCCTACAGGCTTTCTAAAATTTAACATCATATTATGATGTCGGCCTACAGTTGAGGTGTGAAATGGAGTTTGCTAAAGTCAATTTCACAGTGGAGCTGTAGAAGTATATTCCTAGAGCTGGAGGAATAAGCTTGTCAGGAACACTGACAGGTAAGTGTGTGAACATGGATGTAATCTCCCGGGAACTGCTCTCACTCGCTGGGCAACCAGGGGATTTAACCGTAAATACCAGTCTGTCTGAAATGGTAGACATAAGCAGCCTTTTGGAAGGCTCTCTTGCATGTCATTTGGTGCCCTTCGATAGTGCCAGAGCGTCTGACCAAATTTAGGTGGGTACTGATATTTCTCCCTGTGATCCTCCTAAATTAATGGCTTCACTGGAGCTGTAAAGAGCCATATGGAAGTGAGACATGGGAGGGCTGCTTTCTAATCACGACTTCTGCCAACCCAATGTGCCAGCGCAATCTCATAAAATGGCTGTAATAAGTCCTTGGTTGCTTCATGAGGAGTTTGACCTTATCTGGTTACATTTTACTCACACTGTTAGATCCAATCCAGTCCACAACAATGACTATTCCGCTTCCCTAGATTTCAGGTTATCCTAGGCATCTGCAGAACCCTAAAGACATTAGATGGACTTTAAAAGCATAATAATTAGATAGCATTTACAATAACTAGATGGGATTCACAAGCATTACTTTAAACTTTTTTTTATATGCAGTTGCCATTTTCTTTAAATACTTAAATGGTCTGTTTTTACAACATCTCTTTGTTAAAAAACTTCAATTATGGGATGTTTAAAGGTGTCATTCATGTAGTGCATCACATAGTGAACATTGTATGTTGGTGGGGATGTTTTCAGCCATTTCAGGGTGATTTTGAGTCTAAATTTGGCCACAACCTTTTCTCTGTTTAATCACATTGATTGATCAAATCTGATTTTTATACAAATTTTAAGAAAATACTTTGAATTTTTTCAAAAACTCACAAATTTTGTGTTGTATGTGGCCATTCAGACAAGTTTTTTTTATTCTCCCTTAGCTCTAAGCAAAGCTTCTAACTTAAAAAAAAAATTAAACTAAATAACTTATTTTCATTATGCAAAATGATATGCAACTTTTTCTTGCATTACACAAGTTGCATGTGTAGACCCAGGAAAACCTAAACCTTCTCCTCGTGCCACATAAACACTGTTAAGATATTTATCTGTCTTATAAATCACTATTTTTACGTATAATTGTATACAATACATTTTTATACTATCTGGCCTGAGATAAAATGTGTTTATTGACACTGATTAAGATCAGGTGACTGGGCGAAACCATTCTTTCCTCCAGCAGGGGAGCCCATCTATAGAGAGTCTGCAAAAGAGAAATATATAATTATTTACAATGATTTGATTATGTATCTATTTAATTGAAAATGTTTATTTAAATGTATTATTCATATTATGTTCTTGTGCATGCATTTATTTAAAGATTTGCTTTAGTTGTTTATTTATGTACATCCCTGTTATTGGTGCCTTCCATCTTGAGCTCTTCCTTTAAAAAGAGCTTGTTTTCATTCACTTTGGAGAGACTGGTTGGAGAGCATACGGTGCTTTAGCGGGCTGGCTGAATTGTTGGACCCTTCTCATGTGGCTGAGCATGTAAACAAAACCAGCTTTGAGCTTCTGTTATTTTCTGTATGCAGAACCAGTGTTTTTGTTTGTAAATAGTTATATTTTGGTGGTTTTGTTGGTCCATTTTGCACCGGTGGCACAATAAACACAATAGCTCAATATTGTCTTTGCCTTGACCTCTAACATATCGTACAACCCATTGGTTCCCATACGACAATCTGCCAAGATACAAGTCTGTGAGGAATGTGAGGACAAGACTTTTTTTTTTCTTTTTTTAAAAGGATATTCCTTCAGTTTGTCCAAAACTGTGTTCTGTGTGATGGTGATGAGCTTCACTGCAGACTTGGCCTTCAACTACCATTCATCGCTGGATTGAGCCATGAAAAAGAGGTGTTTGGATAAATAAGGTAAAATTAAATGCATACGTCAAGGTTTTTGGTATAGTGGATAGGCAATATATGCCTCGGGATCGCCTAGATTGATTCGAGTTTAAAACCTCAATTCTCTTTATTCTCTGCTCTATTTAACAAAAGCACAATATGAATGAAACCAATGCCAATGTGTTGCTAGAGATTTTACAAAATATGGGCACTTTAATTTATAAAATTTAAGCACCTTAGTTATAAACCATACATATTAAGAATATAATGTTTCCCTTATCACAATTTGTATTCTAATTCAAAAGCAATGTTGACTTTCTTAGTGATTTGATCCATCACTAAAGTGTTCATGACTCTTCAGGGTCAAACATAAACATGTATCTTTAATAAAGAGATTCAATGTATTTTTGGGGCTTTTTTTTAATGAATGGCAATGGCCAATGGCAGTGTTGTGTCCATGGAGAAGCTCCACCTAATTACTGTGATGAGTCACAGCTGCTGCCAACGGTCAAAAAGTGAGGTTTAAAGTGGCAGTTACATGCACAGAGATGGCAGTTTTATACAAAACCACACCTTACACTGTCCAGAAGTTGACTGAAGCCCTGATCCAGGTCTGAAAGATCCCATAGGTACACATCTGGACCCTATATGGTATACGGATGAGAGATATTCTGCATCCAGAAAAATTTAAACTGGAAGATTTCATACATCGAAATCCAAGAAGTTATTTCTGTTTGTTAGTTTTTTGAGCTGGATACTAATGTGCTTTTTCTACAACCCAACAATGAACATTTTGCTGCACTGCTCCGTCTTCTCTAATCAATACTGCAACTGCCAACTCGCTTCTTGACAATATTTTCAAGGTAGGCAGGGATGTGCATATTGAAATGGGGCAGATTAAAAATATTACCCCGCAGCGATGTAATGGATCTCCTGCAGAAATGATTGGAGAATATGTGGCCCAGATTTTTTCTGAGATAGCCGTGGTGGTTTATAAAGGCCTTTGGTTATATAAATGGAGAAATAATTGTGTGGAAACCTTTGGCGATACAAATTAATCATTTCAGTGATAGAATAGGGCTGTCATAGTTCACTTGTTAGTAGTCCAGGCGCACAGTTGGGGAACTTGTGAGATAATGAATGGTTTAGAGGTTTGCCATGTTACAAAGAAAGCTTGAGGGTTGTTGAGTTGAGAGTATTCTATTTGTTTGTTTCAAAAACAAGCAGGTGGTTCTAAACATATTGTTCCAAAAATATAACACAAAAAATGTGTTTTCGACCATGTTCTCATTCGTACCTGGGTATTTAATATTATAACATAATAAAGATGTTGTAAATTAGGCTAAAACTCGATTGTGAATCAAACCCCATTGATGATTTCTAACATGGCATTCCATTTCTGTTGATTTTGCAAACTTTTCTACTTCCTCTTGGAAGTCCTCCAACATAATTACAAAAAAAATAAAGATATTTTCCCAGAATCTTCTGCCTTTTCAGGCTTACAACATGCATTAAAAAAAGAAATTGTGGGGTAACATACAAATAGCATAGCATTGTTCCTATAATCTTCTACTTTTTTAATGCCTCAAAACCTGTGTAGCAAAAGAAAGTTTCAGATTTGCCATTGGTGTCCTACAAGGATAAAGGCTTGAGATGCTGTGATGAATGTCCTGTTATCTAAAACTTCCTCCAGAGGGACTGGTTTGGTGGGTCAGTGATGGTCTGCAGTTGTGAAACTGAGTGGAAAGTATAGACAATATGTTTGACCATTTCCGCTCTCCATTTTTCTGTCCTCATCCTTTTTGATTAATCTTTTTTTAATGACCTTGATTGATTAACTTTATTCTAATTTACCAGTGCTCTCGCATCTAGCATGGAGTAACTGGTATGGTGGTGGGACAGTGATGGTCTAGGGAAGCTTTTTCTTGATTAGCTGGAAATACTTCTATGTGCTGGTCAGAAGTGCCATGACTGCTTACGGGTACCAGAAGGAGATCATCCTCTACTGGGGCAGGTGTACTGGGTACTGATGCAGCAATGTCCAGCACCCAGGGCAAACTTTGTGTTGTAGTGTGTTACTTTTACAAATAAATTTTCTGGATGATTAAGGCATTTATGCTAAGGACTGGTCTGCCTCTTGTGGATGCTTCTATTTACATTTATGCATTTGGCAGACGCTTTATCTAAAGCGGCTTAAATTTGAAAGAATGAACACATTTTTTTGTCAGTTCTTGCATTTCTGGGATTAAAACCTACAACCTTTGCGTTTTTAGTGCAATGCTCTACCAACCAAGCCACAAGAAAGCTTGATACACGGGATATACTTGAATCTAATTGGGCACCTCTAGAATATGACATCTCATTTCATCCTGAACAAGTGGGCATTGTTCTTATTGATGCATGACTCCAATCCTGCTTAGCACAAGTATGTTTCTGACTTTTTTTTCTTTTTAAATCTCACAAGCTTTTACTGCCGCACCTGTACTATGATTATCACGCTTTTCCATTAGGTGGCAATATAAGCTTTACCCTAATGTCATATTGGCCTCCAGAAAAGTCCAAAAAAGCAAATTGTCAAATTTCTTCCACTACACAAAGTTACTGAACCAACATTTCTGAAAATCCTTTGCTCAGTTTTTTTGGTAATTTCAGTGACTGTATGATTTTTTTTTTTTTTTTTTTAAATGCTTGCTTATGAAATAACTGAGTTTGTGTAAGTAGTAGCTGATTTACTACTTAAATATTTTGGTTCCCTTTAAAGAGATATTCTTTTACTTTATCTGCAATTTTTCACTCAATTCACCCACAAACCCACCATTGGTTCCAAGTGTTCAGCACGGTAATTGCTGCAATGTATTCAAACTCACCATTTCCCACAGACACTCCCTTATCAATTAAATGCTCTGATATAAGAGGCCCCTGATCTTAAGAAATATTGCCATCATCTGTTAATTTACTCCATTACTTACAAGTCATGCTCTCTGGTTTAAAGCGGCGTACACATCATTAAGAAATCGTTCTTTCTTTGCTGAATGCTTTACAATATTCTCCAATAGTTTAAACACTCTTATTATGCATAAACATCTCTTAATTTTCTATCCAGTCAACTAATCCAGTCCTTAAGCAGTTGAACACCAGTAATGTGACAATATTATAGCAAGGACAGCTCCGTGTGTCATGGAGTCATGTGGTCATGATTTGTTATATGTGTAAATTCACACATAAATGACATGGATAACTGGGGAGGGTTTGAAAATCTGGTCCAAAGAAGATAAACCTTTCCAAATTACCCAGAGGTGCGGAAGGCAAGGTTAATACGTTCATAATCTGCAAAAGAGAGCCTTGGGCTGCTAGGACTGAATTGGCGTGAATATAGAAAGTTGCATGTTTACAAAGCTTCTCCCTCGATGCCAAGAGAGTAAACAGGATTAGAAGTTAGAGGAACCATGGGCCCTTCCTTCACCTGTCAGCTGAACCGAAAGGAACAGCTCAGAAAGACTTGCAGTTTTGACATGATGCTTGCACAAAAACCTGATCAAACAACTTAAAGTTGGAGCGAGCACAACAAGATTCTCTGATGTGCAATATTTTGTGCAATGAATATTAATTTTTCTAATTTTTTGAAGGGGAAAAAAAAGGAAATCTCACGTTTACCTCCAGTCTTTGTATGCACAGAGGACACCCACATTTTAAAGGTGGACCCCATGACTCTATTGAGGAAACTGTTGGTTATTGATTGGTCCACTTGGTTATTGATTTTATATTTTCTATATTTTGGAACAGTTTCCTTTTGGACCACAATTTCCTTGCTTAACACTTCACAGAGCATGTTTGAACTGAAATTTGCTGTAATAATGTGGTAATTGCTGTAAAGCTTGCTGTAAATTGCTGTGCTTTTTTAGCACAACCCCAGCTTCTTTTTTTTCCATCACAAACCTGAAATTGTACAAAAATAAAATTAAGTAGTATGTTTAGTATTTAAAAAAATGTAATTATAAATTATATAAATTCATTCAAAAATGTAGAGAGAAGGCCAAAATTAAAAATAAAAAAATAGGCGATTCTACTAAACCATAAACACTGTTCCAAGCACTTTTTGTTCCATTGTGTTATTGTTTTTGTGCCAAAACTATGACAAATACGTCATCTCACAGATCTTGTACTTCCAAAGTTTATTCCTTCTTTTCACCACCAGATGGCACTGATGGCATCAATTTGGGGTCTGTAAAAAGAAGCTGAAAGACGATCACCCATTTTCTCATATTTTAATTTTAATTACCTTGCAAATTTTTAAACTTGTAATATTCGTTTAACCATTTTTTATTCGCTAAAAATTAAGAGGTTTCTTGAAACCCAAACATTATATTTGAAAATTAACAATAGATGAGTCACACCATCCCTATTTAATTCATTACATCCGGTATGATTGGCACACAGATTGGTATGTGCAGAGACTTCTACGAGTTCAGACAAAAATAATAATAATAATAATGAGAAAAAAATGCTGTCAATCCAGCCACTGATAAAAATATGTTCTACATCAGATATTTTTGAATAGTCATTAAACCACAGCTATTTAGTGACTGTCATCAGGCAACAAAAAGTAAAAGATTTGGGGGGGGTCTCTTTTTCCAGGGAAATTCCATCCATGTGTTAAAACATTCACCACAGGAAAATGTCATCACTGGTTCAGTCATTTCATTCTGGTGTTTTTAGCCTGTTGTGAGCAGGTTCTTAGCTCTGTTTGACATTTGTGATAATTAAAATGGCTAATCCATGTACGGTGCTGTTAAAGCCCTAGAAAATGGGCATGGTTAATTTTAGGTCAAATTAAAACCTTGCCATGAAGTGCTTACCTGCAGCTTCAGCTGAGAACCTATAATAATTCAGAAAACTGAAAAGAGGTTAAGGGGAGAGATGAACCTTAAAGCTAAGAGCTGTTCATATCTCTTGAATGGTCTAAGTCTGCAAAGACTAAAGAACTCTTAGTTGAATAGAATGCTTGATTTTTTTTTTTTAGTTTAACTTTAAACGTTTCCTCTTTTTCTTTGGAAGGATCTGTTGGTTTCTTTCCCCTTTTCTGACAATTTTATGTCTCCCCAGCACAGGTGTAGTTTGTCAGGAAAGTGACAGTGCATGAGACTGAGCCAAGCTCCAAAGCAGTGGGTAATGTCTGGTGATGGACAGGAGATTCACAGAGAATTAAAAAGACAGGGATCCTCCTCTCCCTCCAAAAAACCAGAGAAGATGACTGACAATGTGCCTCTCCCTCTGTCCGCCTCAGACTTTTACTGAACCAAACACTTTTGGTGCCATTAGATTTGACATCTAAATACACACACAAAAATTGTATTTTAATTGTAGTTTTTTATTTTTTTTATATTGAAAGTATGGGAAGAAAATCACACAGGTCCATAGTTTGTCAAGCCAAGTAAAGTAGTAAAAAAATTTAAATAAAGATATTCGGCAGTGGAAAAGAGATTTAATGACCTCTTTATACCATAGTCAGTGACATCATACAAGGTTCTCCATGACAATTTGAGCTCATATCATTACATTTTTTACTTAACCAAGATACTGATATTCCAAATTGGTTGCCATGATAAACAGTCAGGTTGCTATGGAAGGTTCAGTGACCCTCTGATGTTCCCTTTGTCACTTTAAGCTATATAACCAAACCCCCATCTCTCTTTCATGAGCCAAAGCAGAGAACGAATTCAGAAAATTTGGTTGCCAGGGTAAACCGTTTGGTTGCTTGGGTGCTGTCAGTGATGTCATAATATGTATACATTTTTAATTTGTAACTATATTGAACAGATACACACCCTGATTTCTCTCTGATGTTATATCTAGATTTTTTTTTTAATTGCCTTTTCAATGGCCATTTCAATTCGGTTATATAAACCTATAACCCATTCTAGAGCTTAGGGTTCAAATACTTTTGAACAGTGGTTGGTAGGTTCTAGCACAGACTGATAACATCCACAAGTGTGGTCTTTATGAAGTTTCTATGTGGTTTTCGGTTTGAGCTTTTCAAAATTTCACCCCATGACTATCTTTGATAAAAGCTGATTGAAAGCTATGGTGGCACCTAGTCAAAAGCCTGTCTACAACTGCAAATGTGAAGCATCTTATTGTATTTATTTGGGCCTACTGTAATCTACACTGTATGGCTAGATTGAGAGTTGTGTTATTTGCCTTTGTTGGGTAATGTACAGCTCAATTGACATTGCTTGATAGGTTTCTTCAAAAACCGTGTATTTTCACGGTTTAACCATCTGACAACTCCCTTCCAGATGCATCAGTGAGAGTTTTGGATGCTACTAATCTGTGTTGCAAAGAATGTTAAATCTTATAAATCCAAGTAATCCGTAAATTAGAGAAATTCATAAATCAGTTTTTAGGATTTCATCGTTTTGATTTGATGTTATTGATTTGTATTTTCAATAATTTGCGTTCTTTATAAACCTTTTTGATATCTCTGCCATTAAGCATCAGTATTCATACCAGTATGTGTAGGTCCCTTATGGAGATTAATGTATGGAGGCTGTAAGATTAACTTAATTGCGAGAGCCACCGCAGAATATCAGAGACGTGTTCTGGTTCAGATGGTAAAATTTTCAAGCTTTGACACTTGATTAAAGTAATCCTGTTTGTGCAACAAGAAGAGAAAAGGTCTGAGCCCTATCTCCCCAAAGCAGCTGTCGGCTCTTCAGCCAAATCCACTTCTTTTGCTGGAATCAGACGCTATTCAGCACAAACTGATTGCGTTGAGCTTCAATAAAGTGTCATCATTTATTTGAAATGAGGAGTACTTTAAGCGTTTGTCACCATTACACCTATGGAATATTTTTTTTTTGTTCAGGAATCATAATTTATAAAAAATAACAACTAAAGGGAAATTAAATCTGTGTTTTTCATAAAACAAGAGGTGGGATGTGCTTAATGTTCAAATCATGCCTAATGAATGTCATTTACCTGGCTCAGTAACATTCAATTCTCCCTTATTCTGCTATTTTCGTAAACAACCAAACTAGATGGCTAAAATGCATGCACAAATTTTGATGTTGGCATGTAAAAGTGCATATCTTTATCAGCAAAATAGATTGGTTTCCATATATATATATATATATATATATATATATATATATATTTATATTACTATGATTAGCATAAAAAAAAAACATTTATCTATGATTTTCCATCTTGAAAGCATTTTTTCTGTTTCCCATTAATTTCATACGCCCATTATAAATCAATATTAAATATTTAACCCCTTCTAGAGCCTACTTTTGCACAGTGGTCA